CAGCTAATGCAGCCATAGTTTAGTTCAGTTTGGAGTTGGAAGGATTAGATAGGAGCTTTGAAGTGGAGGGAAGGAATGAAGAGTTTGGAAACTGTTAATTAGAAAGATACCTCTTTGAGGAAAGTAATTAGAGGCCTTCAGGGAGAAGAAGAAGTATTAGTGAGCCTCTGTAGTTTTAGAGTGCTGGTTTGGAAAGAGGATTCAAAAGGTTTTAAAACAACCTGTTTATATTCCTGTGTGTGGAACATTGTTTTTAGGAAAATCAAGATATAAAACCAATCTCTATAAAAGTAAAGCCTGACAGTTGATTGAAACCACTACACATCTCTATTGTTCAAGAACAAAATAAACAGCATATTCTTGTTTTATTTTACCTGAAGAGATTGTGTGTATTCTTGAACATTCTAGTGAAGGAGGTGGCCTATGAATCCCTATGAATCAATAAATGGTGGCAGCAAAAGAAACTTTAATAATAATAAATTGGTGGCAGCAAAGAAATATATAATATACAGTGGTAGCATCCCACTGTCCTGTCTTGTGTCGGGTGTGTGTAAGGGCCCTTGCCCTCCTCGACCTGCACTCTGACTAGTCATCTCTTATTGCAAACAGCTCTTATGGTGAGGAGGTTCTTCCTAATGTTCAGGTGGAATCTCTTTTCCTGTAATTTGAAACCATTGCTCCAAATCCTAGTCTCCAAGGCAGAAGAAAACAAGCCTGCTCCCTCTTCCTTATGACATCCTTTCACATATGCTATCACATGGCTATCATGTCTCCTCTCACCCTTCCCTTCTTGATATGCTGGTGAGACAACACTTGCCAGCCTTCCAGTCTGACGCTTGGGCACAGCTCCACCACTGTCACAATCAAGACTGCCTCTTTTCTCTCAAAACTCCCAAATATGTCAGCAGAGTTGTTGGCTTTACAAGCACTTACAACAGTGGACTTCATAGAATTTTTTTTTCAGCCCAGAGCCATTTTCATATGGAGGCTTAACCTTCTCGTGTGCCGTGAAATAGTAGTGCATAGGTATGCAAAGCATTTATGCTTGAATCCAAAGACAAATCCTCTAATAAATATGAACCCGAAGCATTCTTCCTTATAAGCAAGTACCACTAAAATAAATAGGATTTACTTTTAAACATATAACCTATTTATACTGCAGAACAGAGAATTTATTTGTAGCTGAGGACAGTTAATCCCACTTATTCACATATTGTTGAACAGAAACCTGAGAGGGGGTTATGGCATATCGTTCATGTTAAAACTGGTACAAAAACTCATTAAGAAAAAACAGGGAATGGAAAAAATGGCTTCTCTTTTTTTAAAAAAATGACACAGTTCTCTCTATGCTTTTTATATCTCAATTACTGATTAATGTCTGAGCACTTTAAAATGCTGGCTGAATTAAAACAGTAGTTTTCAAACTGTTCCAAGAAAATAATTGCCATAATTTAACAAGGGACCCCAGAGTTTATAGTTAATCTCCTTGTTGAGACTAGAAGTCCCTAAATACTTCAGCCCCAGGGTTTCTGGTAATTGTTGTCCAAAAATTCCTTTTTTCTGGGAGGACCATCGCTCGGCTGTCACGCTTTGCAGACAAAAGGTTCAAGGTTCATCCAAGCCATCCTCTGTTAAGGGAAAGCAGACAGTTGTACTAGAAAAGGCCTCTCTCTGCCTGAGACTTTGGAACCAATGTGTCTGGATGGACAAGATAACTGACATGATTTAAATCAGCTTCCTAATTAAATGATTAGCAATGGCAGTCAAGAAAGGCGGCTTTTTTGAACAATAGAGTACTGATGTTCCTCTCCAAATGTCAGCAACAGGGATAGAGCTGCATGACCCAAAACTCATGAAATACATAACGGAGCCTTCTTTGCAGCAGTACGTCAACTGTGGAAGACACTACCTAAGGAAGTTTGGATGGTCCCATCCTTTTAAAGCTTCCAGCTGGCGGCCAAAAGAGTGCTGTTCTGCATGGCATTAAATGTCTGAAACTGATGCTAAGGTGCCGCTGCAAAGAAAGTCCCATTATGTGTTCCCATCAATCTAATTCTAGGATTGTTTTTAGATTGTTTCTAGGGGTTTTTAGCGAGTATTTTAAAATGTGTTTTTAAAAATGTTTTATCTTTCTGTTGTTTTAAATACTGGTAGTTTACTTTGTCATCACCTTGAGCGTCTTTCTGGGCTGGGAAGCAATAAAGAAATATAATAAACACATACATTTTTTAAAAATCAGCTTTGTCTTTGCACACATTATTACTTTGCATTAAGTGCTGGGTTCAGTGACCACACCAGAATCCCTTCCCATTTGCAGAGATTCTTCACTATACAAAAACCTTATGAAAAGTTTCTGATTGAGTCTGAAAACAATGTACAGTAGACTCTTAATTAACCAGAACTCTCAAGCAACTGGCAAAAATTAGAAGAAATAATACTGCTTTCAGAAATCTGTTTTTATAATTCAGTAAAATAGTGTTACAGTAAGTAACGTTTGTCTTTATTTGCTTTTAATTACTGTCACTATTAATATAAAGTCGTTTTATTATATGGTATGGTACAGTACAGTATGGTACAGTATGGAGTAGAGTCTTTATTAGGTCTATTTTTAACAGTAACCCTCAAGCAACCAGAAACTACATTACTAGCAACTACCAATCCCCATGTGTGCCCGTTAACTGAGACTCCTCTGTATGAACTATGGCACAAGTTTGTTGTTGTTCATTCACTCAGTCGTTTCTGACTCTTCGTGACCTCACGGACCAGTCCACACCAGAGCTCCCTGTCGGCCGTCACCACCCCAGCACAAGTACTTTAGGAAAATCCAGAATATGATGTTTGGAAGGGGGAATTAAAAGAATAAATATGCATGGGAGAGGTGGGATTATTTTTTGTGGGGAGAATACTCAGCTTTCTCTTTTTCAAATTGAAAATCACTGATAGATCCACACCGTCGGATATCTTATCTAGGAGCCCTCAATGGCATAATGGGTTAAACCCTTGTGCTGGCAGGACTGCTGACTGACAGGTTGGCAGTTCGAATCTGGGGAGAGCAGGTTGAGCTCCCTCTGTCAGCTCCAACTCTTCATGCAGGAACATGAGGGAAGCCTCCCATGAGGATGGTAAAACATCAAACATTCAGGCATCCCCTGGGCAACGTCCTTGCAGACGGCCAATTCATTCACTTGCAGTTTCTCAAGTCGCTCCTGACTTGAAGAGAAAAAAAAAGCTAAACATAATTTAGTTTCTATTTGTGTTACAGTATCAACTGGCATGTGACATTCCCATTATATATAATTAGCTAGAGATATTTAAATTCTGGTATCAACAGTGAAAATCAAAACAAACTTTTATGTGCCTTGGAAACAGATGTAAGATGAAAAGAGTTTGTGTTTCAACTAATATTGCAGAAATGCTTATGTAAGTATGATTAAATTTAGAGACTTATATAAATCCCATCCCCTGCAGCAAAGAAGAAACTCTAAATACAAGGAAGAATGGGATCTAGGTTTGCAGGGAGCTAGAGTGAGCGAAACTTGTCATGCACATTAATAACCCAGTGGTCTTTATGACTGCTCAATATATGTCCTGTCACTTGAAATACACATAAGAACAACCGAAATAGCTAACAGAACAAAACTGTAGCTATGTGGGTGGGGTACTCAAGCTTTATTCCCATGTTGTCATCTTTTTAATATTAAGGGTGAATTAAGAAGTCAGCTCCTTACTTTGAATCAGTCCTTTACCTTCAATCTGTAGAGGGACAAGATAAAGTGGGAGGAGATATAATAACTTCTCCCCTAGAATGATGTCCCAGAATGATTTCTAAATTCTTGAAAAGGATGGCATCAACCAGAATTGAAAGAAGGGGTTCACTTGACTTGCTAATTCTATACTGAAAGTGGACAACATCCATACAGATAGGAAACAATCTCTCTTCCACAGAACCTGCAGTCCTTTGTTGCAGCCAAAATTAAGTGGTGTTGTAAAGGGGTCCATGGTATTAAATACTTCTACTTTTAAGTAAGGTATATGTACCTAGTTTTAAAACAGATTAGACTGTGAATTTGCTTTGCAAAAAAGTATCTTGCCCACAAATTTTGTTTTAAAATGGAAGTGTGTTAAACTACACTGCTTTGCATCATTAGCAGTGGAGAGGTGACAGTGAGGGCCAGAAAAATGGGAAGGTGACCTCATGGGAACCTCATGTTCCCATACTGTTCTCTCCCTCTCTCTTCACTCTTCTGAAGCCCAGCTGAGCAATGATGTATCCCAAGATACTTTGGCTGTAAAATATTTAACTGGGAAGAACTGGATAACTGAGGTTGAATAAGTTGTCTCTTCTTAGTCTATGCTTTTCAATTCCAAGCACAGTTGTATTGCTTCAGAAATACAATCCATAAGAAAACAGAAGGAGAAAGTAGCAGCAGGCATTTATAAATAATCTAGGAATTCACCATGTGATTCAAGTCCCTTCCAATTAAAATAATATAGACATTGCAAGCATGAGAGCCCAAGTCACGCCACTGCTTTGGAAAATTCCACATTATTTCCTGGGCTGACTCCAAGTTGTCAATGAATCCTCTAAAAGGTGACCCTCTTTCCTGTTTTTTATACCTACCATTCACCTCCCTAAACTTTGTCAAATTCTGCAGTTAAGTTTGTTTGCCCAGGTGACAGACTGGGATTCTGGCTCCATGCAGAACACAATGTACAGCCAGAGAGATTCCTGGATCATATAACTGACTGCAAACCAGTAAACTGCTGAGGTTCTCCTATTCCACCTTCAAGCAACTGCAGCACCAGATGTAAAAAAAAATGCCTATAAGAGGTAAAACAGCAATTTAGGTCACTCTGATCCGTAGGTGCCTACACTTGAGCAAATACCTGGATTCGCTGGATTTTGACAGTAGGTCCACGATGTTTATTTTGCATGGGAGTTTAACAAGACCACACATTTTCTTTAAATTTGAGTCTCTGTCTCAAAGACTTTTACTTACTGCAAGCTCCACAGGTAAAACATCCATCATGGTAGAGATTCCCCATTGCTTGGCAAGCTTGGTTTGCACCATAGACTCCTTTGTTGCACTTCACACAGGTTCCTAAAAGAATATTTTGGAAAATGACTGGTCAAAAATAGATTCCACAAATCCAAGCAGGGAAGAAACACTACACTTTGGAATGAAAGGCTGGTCTGGAAACCAACTTAACATTAAATCGTTTGCCCATGAAAAACATAATGATTTCAGTATACTACTATTTATTAAGATAAAAATTAGAAATAGTTGGGAACAAGATACCTATTTTAGCAGGTAAAACTATTATATTTATCTGAAGTACATTTTGTGCATATCTGTCATCCCAGTACTGCAAGAGTGATTACAGACAAGGCTCTTTTATGAAATATAGCTCATATGAGCAAGTAGACCATTGCAGTGAATTCATATTTTGTTCATTGTCAAAAGACCTATAATAAAATTGGGTTTTTTGTCCACTAAATTGCATGGATATTCTATGAGAAACACCTCCTAATGTGACCATAAAATGAGGATTATTACTTTTAGTGTTGGGGCCCTTCCAGGCAGGCCCTATATCTCAGGATCTGATCCCAGATTTTCTACATTAAACTGGATTCTATGAGTCCGCACTGCCAGATAATCTGGGATAAACAGAAAACCTGGGATCAGATTCTGGGATACAGGGTGTGCCTGGAAGGGCCTTTAGTCTCTCATGCTCAGTCATATATATCGACATGCGAGTGTGGAGAAGAGCAAACCACTGACCACCTGCTGCAATGCACCCTGAGCCCTGCCACATGCACAATGGAGGACCTTCTTGCAGCAATACCAGAGGCACTCCAAGTGGCCAGATACTGGTCAAAGGTCATTTAATCAACTACCAAACTCGCAAATTTTGTATTTTGTCTGTTTGTTTGGTTCTGTTAGAAATGTAATACAATTGACTGGTTGCCCCGACACGACAAATAAATAAAAAAGTCATATATATATAGATATAAATTATCTGTTTTAACTTTAAGGCCTGAAGCAAACTGGAATATGAGAACCCATGCACCACAGATTTTATTGACCAACTGGCTTTATTTTATACTAGCTTGAGTACCCAGTGTTGCCTGGGTTATTTGAAAAAGCCATTTTTATTTTACAAAATGCATAAAGTTGTGGATGAACTACAACTCACACCATGCCAGGTTAACCCTCAGAAATTCCATCAGTAGTTAAAGTTTGTCATGTTGGGCAAGTTTGCTCTAGATGCATCATCAGTGGGATTCAGTGTGATCTCTGGCTGCAGGATAAACTACAGCTCCCACCATGGTGGGTCAGTCCCTTCAAATCCCTCCAGTAGGTTCAGTTGGTCATGGGGGTTCTGTGTGCCACGTTTAGTCCAGATCTGTCATCGGTGGTGGTCACAGTGTCACTAGATGTAAGTGAACTTCAACTTCCAGAAATGAAGGTCAGTTCCCCCCAAACCCCTCCAGTATTTTCAATTGGTCATGATGATTCTGTGTGCCAAGTTAGGTCAGGGCCATCATTGGTGGGGTCCAGAGTGCTCTTTGGTTGCAGGTGAACTATAATACCCAGTACCTACAATGGCTATGGGACACTTCCAAAGTCTCAAAAAATGCATGCCAAGTAGCTCCAGGCAAAAGCTAATGTATGACATCAGAAGTAGGATTTTTAGCTGCCAAATCCACCTCACTTGGTATCTGACATCACATAAGTCATAAAGACACAGGTAAACACACTCAAGGGCAGAAAATGGAAAACTTAAAAGCATTCAGAAATAAGTTATATTCGAATTGCCAGTTAATAGGGAGATGTGTGTGTGCACTGTCATGCAAAATAAAATGCTAAACCATGGAAGCATTTAAAATGTTTTTTAAGGATCTTCTTAATTTAAAAAGATGAAACAGTTGTGGCAACAGCTTTCAATTCCACTTCTGCTGAACACATGGGGATTTGTCATGTTGCACAATTAAAGAACCACCAAGTAGCATAATACTACACATCTGCTCAAAAGAAAGTACCGCCCTGAGTCGCCTGCGGGCTGATATGGGCGGGATATAAATAATGTAAATAAAATAAAGTAATACTGAATTCAACAGGGCTTTATATCAGATTGCGTATATGAATATACCATAGAAAACTGTATTAATTTGAGGTTGCCACACTGTTTTCTGAAGTTTCCGTGGCCTTAAATACTGGATATAATACTAACTCTCACACACATATATACCTGTAGCAAAATTGGATCTGTAAATTCACATACAATATTCTAGAGCAGTGGTTCTCAGCTTGTGGGTCCCCAGATGTTTTGGCCTACAACTCCCAGAAATCCCAGCCAGTTTACCAGCTGTTAGGATTTCTGGGAGTTGAAGCCCAAAACATGTGGGGATACACAGGTTGAGAACCACTCCTCTAGAGCTAAAAGGCGATGTGTGTGAGTTATATTTGTTTTGTTTTTCTTTAATCTGCAAAAAGATACAGCCATTTCCATGGGATAGCATTTTGTACTTTCCTTTCAAGATTGTGTGCACCTTCAAATCACTTATTTATGGCGACTTCATGGATTTCATAGAGTTTTCTTAGACAAGGAATACTCAAAGGTGGTTTTGCCAGTTCCTTCCTCTAAAATATAGCCTACAGCACCTGATATTCATTGGTGGTCTCCCATCCAGGGACTAACTAGGGTTGACTTTGCTTGGCTTCCAAGATCAGATGGAATATTGAATCTTTAAGAGTATTTAATGTATTTAAGTCTACCAACCTCTTAGGCCCCCCATTTACACGGGTACAATAATCCAGTTGGAAACTGGCTCAAGGTCAGGGTCTCTACAAGACGTTCACCCCAAATGCTACTTCCAACTTGCATCCAGCCAGAACCACATGTTAAAAAACTAACTGGAAATTTCAGATCACACCATAAAATGCACTGGAGTTGAGCATTGTATAAATACTGGTGTTGCAAAGCAGAAGTAGCATTTGGAGTGCTTGTCAGGACAGGTTTAAAGCTGCAGGAGTCACACACTGAACCTGGATAAATAGCTTGGAGGTAAGATAAACAAAGCTTCCCTAGCAAGAAAAGGACAGTGTTCACATGGGAACAGCAAATTGCCTCTATTGTCTGGCTCTTCTGCAGACAATGCTTTTGCCTTTGGAGCTGAGAAAAAAATTACTCCCGGATTTGGACATATCTATATCATTGGAGGTTGTGGACTCCGTGGGAACCTGCAGGAGGCTCCATGGGGCCTTTGTAGGCATTCCAGTGCAAACCGGATCACTTTTATCCATATCCTGAATCAAAGTAAACAGCTGTGTGGAAGTACTCTAATATTTTAACAGTAGTTATTCCACCAGGAGATTTAAGAGTGCTTTCTCAAAGTATAATAATTAAGTGAGATGATCAAGTTAGGAGCTCTGCTTGATGGAAAAAGAATTGGTTTGTTGCTAAGTGTGAAAAGGAAAAAAAAGGAGTTTTGGGATGGAATGAGGGCAGAAGTAAGTGCTTGCTTAGCAGAAAGCCAAAGCTCTCAAACAGTTAAGTCTGCTTAAGAACATCAGGCCCTTTAGTGCAGGAGGAAAGTGTTGGGAGCTTTTCTACTGAGTGATCCTCATCAGTAACTTATTCTTGTTTGTTATTTTATTCTGACCTGGTTACTATATAACCTCATATAATGTTATTTAGGGTGAGGTACAATCGTTTCCCACACAATTCTGTGCACTTTTATTATTAAATAAAATGTCTTACTCAAACCCACCCCCAATTTCTTTCTATCTTGGCTTTTCTCTCTCTTTTCAGGCTTCCTATTCTGCTTTCTATCTCTTGCCTTTTTATTATACATACAAAAATAAGATGGGAACAGAAAAGAGCAGGCTAGTTAAATACCTGATTATTTTAATGGAAGATCTGCAAAACATTCGTTTATTCCTATTTTTAAACAATATGATCCAAAATATCATCTGCTACTCTATTTTGATCAATCAAAAAAAAAAGCACTCTCCCAAATCATAAGGCAGTAAGAAGCCACACTTTGAAACTACAAGGCCATTAAATGCTAATCACTGTTGCCAATTGAAACATTCACACATATCTCCAACAGACAAGAGTTTTTCCTGCCACCCCTGGACATTTCAGAGATATATAAACCCCATTTTCCTAGTTTCCAACAGACCTCACAATCTCTAAGGATGCCTGCTATAGATGCAGGCAAAACGTCAGGAGATAATGCTTCTGGAACATGGCTATACAGCCTGAAAAACTTACAACAACCCACTGATTCCAGCCATGAAAGCCTCCGACAATACATAATGTTGTTGTTTTGTATTTTTAAGCAACTTTGATTTATGGTGATCCTCTCACAGCATTTTCTTGGCAAAATTTATTCAGAGAAGATTTGACATTGCCTTTCTCTCTAAAGCTGAAAATATGTGAGTTGTCCAAGAAAATCACCTAGAAGGTTTCAGTGATTGAGTGTGGATTTGAACCCTAATCTTCTGGTGCCCTAGTGCAATGCTGTAACCACTGTATAACACTGTGTCTTAATGCAGGAAAAAGTAATTAATCCACCTGTGACTGCTGAAGGGACAGATATAGGTATACATATCAAACACGGGGAAAGAACACCTCTACTTATCTATAGCTTTCTTACAAGTCATTTGTGAAAACAAAATGTAAAACTATGATTTTTTTTAGACCTCATGGGCCATCCAGTCCAACCCCCTGCCAAGAAGCAGGAATATTGCATTCAAAGCACCCCTGACATATGACCATCCAGCCTCTGTTTAAAAGCTTCAAAAAAAGGAGCCTCTACCACACTCTGCTGCAGAGAGTTCCACTGCTGAACAGCTCTCACAGTTTTCCTAATATCCAGATGGAATCTCCTTTCTTGTAGTTTGAAGTCATTGTTCCGCGTCTTACTCTCCAGGGCAGCAGAAAACAGGCTTGTTCCCTCCTCCCTGTGACTTCCTCTCACATATTTATACATGGCTATCATATCTCCTCTCAGCCTTCTCTTCTTCAGGCTAAACATGCCCAGCTCTTAAGCCGCTCCTCATAGGGCTTTTTCTCCAGACCCTTGATCATT